ACGGAGCAAACATGGCTTTTGTTTTTCCATCAAAAAAAAAAAATATGCTTTGGCTTTTAAAGCATGCCTCTTAGTATTTCCATTGGCAGAGAGCTAAAGCATGACAGCGTCAGAGGATAAAACAGGACATTATTTTTGCACTGTTTGGAATTAGACACTGTTTTGAATTACAGAGGCTGTGGTACTTGTTAAAGATGGAAGGAGGGGCAACCTAAAGCACATTTTTGAAGTACATAATGTTTATGCAGTCAGATCTATCCCATGGTCTGGGAACTCTGGGAACTAATGTGTCCAGAATGGAGACAATTTTAGCTTTCACAGGGCTAATTTACTAAATTCAGTCTGTGACCAATTTCTTCTGAGAAGAATGAAGACATATCTGGTGTGGTGGGCCAAATCTTGTAGGCAATGCCCAGTAGCACATGAGATTGTGAATTCGATTTGAAAAGTTGTATTTGATATAATTCTTGAAGAGCTCGTAAAGTAAGAAGCTTTGGAAATCGTTCATATCAAACCTGGAAATGAAAAGTTTGGAAGTGTCATCCTCAAAGTGGACAAAACAATAGACTGAATATTAAGAGACTTGCCCTTCTGTCACTCATGAGCTTAGTGACAGTAGGCAAGTCTTCAGTTTCTTTATCTGTAGAATCAGACACAGCATTTTCCAAGCTAGTTTTTTAGTGAGGGCATTTTTTTTTTTTATGACATTGAATTTGGCAATGATTTTTTTTTTGCAGGGAAAGATTCGCCCTGAGCTAACATCTGTTGACAATCTTCCTCTTTTTTTTTCCTCCCCCAAACCCCAGTGCATGGTTGTATATCCTAGTTGTAAGTCATTCTAGTTCTTCATCTATGTGAGCCACTGCCACAGCATGGCAACTGACAGACGAGTGGTGTGGTTCCACGACCAGGAAACGACCCCAGCCACCGCAGCGGAAGGTGCCAAACTTGAACCACTAGGCCATCAGGGCTGGCTTGCAAGGACATTTTTTCTTTCAAACAAAAGCTTATACCTAAGTCTAATGTGTAAAATAGCTGCACATGGGAAGCCTGGGACTGTGGCCAGCAATACTTCAGTCCCCCACTCCCCTAGAACCATCCCCTGGCCCACCAAGGGTGGTGTCAATGGGAACGTTTTGGAGAAATTATAGCTGAAATCTCCTGAGTTCTAATTTCTTATGACTAAACGTGGAAATCTGTCTTGCTTGATAGGACACCACCAGGAGCAAGGAGGAATTAAAACAAGGATGGATTAGCACCTGAAGATTTTATTTGAAAAAAACAAAAATCTGGGTTATTTTACTATAACCTCTGATGTTAGGAGAGGGTTCGTGAGACAATTTGAAAATTAGCTTGAAATAAATTTTGGAAGCTCTACCTTTCTATCTCGTTTTTGAGGCACTTCATTTCTGTGAGCACACAGCACTTTCTAGTTTGCAACGAATGTACTTTCACACATGTTGTCTCGTGTGAGCATCTGAAAGACCTCACTGATTCACGCTGTCTCAGAGACAGCAGTTTCATGAGGAGCCCACATCTTGCAAAGGTTTCCTTCTCATAAAGAAAAGGGAAGAGAGTTAACTACCTGAGGAGGCAGGTCATTCTGTTTGAATCCTGATGTAATAGGAACGTTAAGTTGGCTGTTGGCAACTCTGAACCTCTAGACAAGTGGTCTTGACAAAACTCTCTCTTCTCCTCGTCAGGAACAGCCTAGTCCCACATATAGAAGGATTTGCATGTTTATAGACTGTCCATTTTACGGCCCAGACTCAGACATCCATGACTCATTTACGTAAGACAGTTTAAATGGTCTAAACCTCATTCCCTTGTTTTCTCGTCTTGAAGAGGAGGGCTATGGGGAGAAAAGGGAGATAGAGAGAGACTGATCTGGGGAAGGAAGTGGTTCCTTGACAGGAACAGAGAACAGATCTGCTTAATAAGTCACTGTGAAGTAAATCCTAACTGTTCAGATTTTTGAAGGAAACTGTGGAAATATTCAGCAGCTATGTACTTACTCTCTATATCATCCCCCTGAATAAATCATAGTGGTACTTTTATAAAGACAAGAATAAATTTAAAAATGAGGGGAGAGCTGACAACAAAATGCGAATAAGAAATGCAAATCTGAGGGAAATACTATATTGTTTAAAAAAACCCATAACATGTGAGGCTAGGGTGATGTATTTATATTTATTGTTAGATACAGAAATGTATTTTCCTAACACTCTATTTCCTTAAAAGGAGGTAAAATCAACTACTTGACAACAGCTCCTATTCACGAATGACAGGTCATATTTTGACTTCTAACTTTTTTTTTAGTCCCTAAATTGCATTTTTTAGTGTTTCTTTTTGTTCTGCTCCTTTGACCTAGCCTGGAAAATCTGAAGAACACTTCTTTCTTTCTTTTTTTTTTTTGTTTTCACTCTTATAAGCCTTTATAACTTTTTTCCTAAGCTCAAAGAACAAAAATAATGATATTTTAAAACGGCACGTGGAAAGGACATTTTCATTTGCAATGAGATAACATAGTCGCAATTAAAATCCACACTTCAAGACAATCTAACTTTCATTTTTTTCATCAAGTTGTTCACATGAGAAATTACCTATCATTTGTCATTTACAGAAGACTTGTAAATTTATAGACTGTGCATTTTATGGCCTAGACTCAGGTATCCATGACTCATTGCTAACAAACACAGTTCTTGACAAGGATACTCTAGTCTAGAACTAATAGAGCACTCATCCATTGCACCACGGGTCTGGGGTCCAAATACGTGTCACCCTAGAGGTGTGGAGAGTTAATACAGCTTCCAAAAGCTGTTTTATTCTTGATCCATAGTCTGTGTTCTGTGACAATCCGATGCTCAGGAGCTCACATTGAATGCTTTGTTGTTTACTGTGCACTTTAAGAATTAATAAAAGCAAGTCTCACTAAATATCTGTATGACAGATAAAAGCAAATTCCACTAAATTCTATTTGACAGCGAATATCTATTTGAAGTGCAACAGAACTTCAGTACTCTCTCTCTTTTACTGTTTTAATCCTGAAGCAAATCAGAAACAAGTTTTGGCAGGTAAATAAAATCATATACTGATTACTGGAACATGGCAGAGTGCAAATGAGAAATAGACGTATAATCTTCAACACTATGTAACGATGCATTTGCAACGTTTTATATGGAACTTAAAATAAAATATCTTTTCTTCCCAAGGTAATTTTTTGTATTATATCCACATGCTGATCATTTTTTTTTAAATGTACATCATTTCAAGCCAACTCATCTTTAAAGAGATCTTATTTTTCCGATATGAAGTGTTCCATATCCCAGTGAGATAACTTTTATTAAATGCACACTATGTGTCAGACATTGTTCTCAGCTCATATGTGTTTTATTTCACTTAATGTTTACAACAACCTTATGAGGTAGGGATTCTTATTACTGTCATTTGACAGATGAGGAACCTGAGGACACTAAGTAACTTGTTGAAGGTCAAACAGATAGTGAGGAATGGGGACAAGACTTGAACCCAGGCAGACTGACTTCAGAACTACCATATTAAGTCACTACACTGTATTTCACGGATTAAGACCAGAGCTAGATGATCTCTTTAGGAAAAAAGATACAGAAAAAATAATTACACAATTTTATTAAAATATTGCCCTCCTCCAGAACTCTATTTCCTCCACCTGAAATAGTTAAGGCTTAAGAATGAAAGAAAAGGAATCATATATGACTTTCCCTAACAAAGAATCATCATCTGTGAAGCAATTTTGATACTGATAGAAACCACTATAAACCTTCCAAATTACAATAATATCTGAGGGTTTTCTGGAAATAAAGTTTTCTAGAGGAGTCAGAGCTTCTTCAACACCAAGGCTACCACTGTAGCATAACACATTTCATCTTCTACTTTGGCCACAACCGATAGAACATTATGCCACCATATCATAACAATAACCTCAACGGATGCTGGAAAATAATAAAGATCATGCACAAGAAGATTACTCAAGCTTTTGAGACCTTCTTGAGGATATAGAAATAGGTCAGGGAGATCCAGAAGACCACGGCTAATCTGGAAGATCCGCTTGTGAATTGGATCTTAAAAGACCTCGAAACTTACAGTTCTATGGAAAGTTCCCTTGAGTCCAGTATTCCCCTGAGGAATCTCATCTGCATGAATCTTAGGACTCTAGGTCTTACTGATTTTCTTAGTTGAAGACACTTTGGGAATTTGGAACTAGAACAGGTTTTCATGGACATTTAGCATTAGATGGGACCTTGGAAATCAACTTGCTTAACTCTTCCTCATTTTGCCAATAAGAAAACCACAAAACAGAGATTACAACTTTGTATGATGTCACAGAGCCTGTCAGTGATAAAATCGTAATGGAAAGCAGATTCTCTGGCTCTAAGTTCAGAGTTTTTAACTAACTGACTTGACCTTCATATCCATCGTTGCCCCTGGCCTTTTAGATCTGTGGACATGAGTCTGTGGTACTTCTTTCTCTGTCCTTTGTCAGGAGTCTGTGGCTGAGGTTGCCCCCCCGACTCACAGGTTTCTGGCTCTGTGAGTGAATGATCAACACCCTATGAAACAGCACATAACTGAAACACTTTCACCAGATACTACATACAGTACTTAACGTTCTTGCACCTTCTATAACGTTGGAGAATATTGTGTATTGTTAACTAAATATATAACCATAATGTTATTTTTACCCATATATTTAAGAAGCACGGATGAAGAAAAACATGATATAAAATAATTTTTCATTCTTCATCTTACTAGGAATTTAAATGTAGATTCTGAGGACATATTATATTTAGCTTATGGAAATGGTTGCATGAAACCAATGAGGGTCTCCAATAATTCCTACTTGTAAAGGAAAAAGCAAAAAGACAGAATGAGAAGTTTCTGTGATCCCAAGAACTGACATGCACGCTCAGTCCAGTTATTACCTAGCTCAGGTGTGGTATCGTAAAGATAACAGGACATACCAGGAGCAGCTGCAACAACAGCACCAACAGAAGCAACATGTGTTGTTGGGCCTCTGGTTTCCAGGCGCCTGAGACACAGCAGGTGTTCCCTCATTTTGTGGCTGCTGCCTTTTTCGCATTTCAGCTACTTCAGTACCCAACTGGCTGAGAGAAGAGAGAAAACATAAGGTATGAAAAAATTACAATCGAGATAAGTTGCCTATGTTGAAGGAAGCATAATTTAATTAAAGGGGGGCGGGGAAGATAATTTAAGAAAAGATAAAAACAAATAAGCTTTAGCAGTCAAATTAAAAATTCTCCAGAAAATTTTTTAGGAGAAATCCTAAAAACTTGGGGGACAAACTTCCACCGTTCTCTGCTGCATGAAATTATAGTGACAATGTTGCCATGTAATCAAAACCGGTTGGTAAGGCAAATATGATAAGGTTTGGAAATTTATTTTTAACTTCCTTCTTTACTCAAGGATGATTTCATCTGCTCTCCTTAGTGAACACCTTTAAATGATTCTAACAGGTGTATACGACTCGCTTCTCCGCTGTTGTTTACAGTAAGGTTAATTGAGCTTTACAAATCATATTGCAAGGTTTCTAACTATACATAACATGGTGAGGAAGATCAAGTTTGCTTTTGGTGTTCTCTCACCTCCGTTTAAAACACTCAATCTCCTTATTGGCACTTCTGAGTCACCCTCCAGGGGCCTAATCTTGACAATATTGGCAAAGTGCCTTATTCTCTGTTAGGTCTCAATGTTGCAAAGGCACCACCTCCCTTTCCTCCACACCCCAAATTTATTTTCATTTAGTAGATAATTGTGGAAAGATAAAAAGTCATCAAATCCAGGGAAATTTGATGGAATTTATATATCATGGCAGATTAGAAAAATATTGGGGTACAGGATGCCCCACCTGTGACCTTACAAATCAGGCCAAATGATTTGTCACCTATTTACAAGACCCATCTTGATCTAGGACTTTGTTGAGGATAAAAAATAAAGTTTTGTTTTAGTAGAATAATATCAACTTTAGCATGACTTCTTAGAAAAAGGAATGAATTCTACTGAATGATGTTTTTTGTAAATAGGTGATGTATGTAAATCATATACATACTGTCATATGTGTGACTGAGAGCAATACTTATTAAAAATATAAAATATTTTGGGTTATTTTGGTATTGTGAGCTCCTGCTTTAAAAATTATATTTTCAAGCACTGATTTTCTTTAAACTTTTTTTTAAATAATTTTATTTATTTATTTTTTTCCCCCAAAGCCCCAGTAGATAGTTGTATGTCATAGCTGCACATCCTTCCAGTCGCTGTATGTGGGACGTAGCCTCAGCATGGCCGGAGAAGCGGCGCGTCGGTGCGCGCCCGGGATCCGAACCCGGGCCGCCAGTAGTGGAGTGCGTGCACTTAACTGCTAAGCCACGGGGCCGGTCCTGATTTTTTTTTAAATTGGAGAATAAAACATGTATTAAAATTTTTTTCCTGGGCCGGCCCCGTGGCTTAGCGGTTGGGTGCGCGCGCTTCACTGCTGGCGGCCCGGGGTTCGGATCCCGGGCGCGCACTGATGCACCGCTTCTCCGGCCATGCTGAGGCTACGTCCCACATACAGCGACTGGAAGGATGTGCAGCTATGACATACAACTATCTACTGGGGCTTTGGGGGAAAAATAAATAAATAAATAATTATTAAAAAAAAAAGTTCATATAATTTAAAAAAACAAAAAATTTTTTTCCTGTGTTCATGTAAGGAAAGCAGTTTAAAAATTTTCAGAGGCTATTTCTTATATACTCTTGCAACATTTCCAGTTAAGAGGTTATCAGGTATATAGTGATGTTCTTAACTGAATGTCAGATGGTCTTAGGCCGCAGGGTGCAGGTGGCCCTTGGACTGTAAGCATTATCCATCCAGGGATCATTGTCTAAATATGTTAGTATTGTGTTTTATCTTGCTTTGAATTTTTAATTTGCAAATTGAAAGTGTTCCCTCTTTGGGGTAAATTCTTATAAAAATTTTTATTGTAAAGTAATACATTTTGTCTACAGTGGGATTATGCACTTCCCAATTGGGATTTCACATAAGGATTTTTAGTCATTCTAAAAAATATCTAATTAATAAATCACAATATTTACAGAGTGCCTACTGTATGCATGAGTTACTTATGAGGTATATTTGGAATGACAGCATATTGTAAGAAAAAGGGTGACTAAAACAATGCTAGATTATAAAAAAATTATATTTTCACTTCTGAATACAATGATAGATACTTTAAAAAACACACTGTATTCTTGAAAACAAGATAAACATCTCTTTAGACCAGAAATGGACCAGAAAACCACAATGGTTGGTAAATGGGGGCTCAAACCATAGCCATTTTGTAATTCAGGGAAGGGAACAGAAAAGTACAAAGGCCTCATACTTCAGGGACGTATAAAATGCTCCACTATGGTAGTGGGAGACCAGATTCCAGGCTATCTGCATAAAATCAGGGGCTGTGGTTCCACCATGCATAACAGGATGCTTAAAAAGCCATGTGTACCATTCAATGATACCTAGCTGCAGGAGAGAGAGGATGCAGAGAAAGCCATCCAGACCGAGGTAGGCCAAGGAGCCCACAGTGGCTGGGTTTGGTGACTGGGTCATGGACATGTCCAAAATTATTGGTGGATGGGAGGGAATCCTGAGATGCTGATGAAAGAGCTACTTTGGGACTGAGGGTCTTGAGGGACTAGTGGAGACAAATGAAAAACATTCCATTATGAAAAGTAAGTGAGAGTGAAGAGTACACCTCTCACTCAGAGCACTGCCTGAAAGCAAAAAATCCAAATTAACACTAAAAAACAGACAGCTGACTCAACAATCAGGAGATGCATATACTCCTGATCAAATGAAAATAACAGAATCACCTACAATTAGTTTAATAAGCATATGCTTAAGATAAAAAATGTGATAAAGGAAAGAAAACTATTCATATAAGAGAACAAGAAATTATAAAAACAATCTAGGCAAATATAAAACAAGAATAGACAGAAGGAAGAATGGAAATGTAAAAACAAAACACATAGACATTAAAAAGATTCAGAAAGAATAACCTCTTCCACAAGCAACCCCAAAGAGAGTAAGTGATAGCGCCAAAGACTGGACCCAGAATTCAGCAAAAAGAGATAAAAAGATAAAAGGGAGGAGGAAAATTAAGACAAGGACAACAGTAACACAGACAGGCTCCAATATGTGTCCAACAGGATTTTCATCATAAAGAGAGAATTAACAGATTGTCAGGGAAGTTGGCTGAGAACTTTCCAGAACTGGAAGAAAACAAAACAATACAAAGCCTCACATTGAAAGAGTACACCACATGCTGAGCAGGATTAATAAAATAGAAACAAAAGTAAATCCATGCTTATGCACAGTATAATAAAACCACAGAAGTCCAAGATAAAGAAAAAAGTTGAATTACCTACAGAGGAGTAACATGTACTGACAGTAGACTTTGCATGAGCAAGATCATATGCCAGAAGACAAAGGACAATGAATAATGTTTTTCAAGTGCTGAGGGAGAAAACTATCTCCCTACAATTTTATATTTAGCTAAACAAAAATTCAAGAGTGAAGATTATTTCTAACATAAAAACTCAAACTCTTACTGGAATCTACTTCAAACAGAAGAAAACAAAATCAGAGGGAAGGAGTGGAATATAAAAAGCAATTAAATCGATACTGAAATTAAATTAAATTAAAGATAATAAAATTAAAATTACTGAAATTAAATTATTGAAATTGATAAAATATGATGCTGAACTTAATTAATGACTGGCCAAAATAAAACCCCATGTTTCTTTGTTTAGAAATAGTCTAGAAGTAAATTTTTGTCGTTAGTGCCATAGAGTCGATTGCAACTCCTAAAGACCCTGTGTCCAGCAGAGTGGAACCTTGCCTGGTCTTTTTGCGCCAACCTCTCACCTTCTGGCACAGTATCAGACAATGCCCCACTGCTGTTGACAGGGTTTTCATGGTCAGTTTTTTCAGAAGTGGGTGGCCAGGTCCTTCTTCCTAGTCTGTCTTAGTCTGGAAGCTCTGCTGAAACCTGCCCACCACGGGTGACCCTGCTGGTATTTGAAATCCTGGTGGCATAGCTTTCAGCATCACAGCAACACGCAGCTGCCACAGTATGACAACCGACAGACAGGTGGTGGGGTTCCCTGACCGGGAAATGAACCCAGGCCATGGTGGTGAGAGCACTGAATCTTAATCTCTAGACCACCAGGGCTGGCAGAAATAAATGGAAGACTACATAAATTAGGAAAATGGGACAGTTGCCCTACTCCTCTACTAACATTTTTTTTTTTTTTTTGGTAAACATTACAATGTCCCCATATTGTTCAATCTAAGAATCATTTTATCCTAATCTTCTGGGCCCATCAGCAGCATCTGACACAGTGATCACTCCATCCTCTTTGAAACACATTCTTCTCTTGCCTTCCTGGCACCACACTCACCGGTTTGCTTTCTATCTTACTGGTCACTTCATCTCAGTCTATTTTGTTATTTCCTTTTTATCTCCCTCATGTCCAAATTTTGGATGGCCATGGTGCTCTATTCTTAGAAATCCGTCATTTCGGGGCCGGCACCGTGGCGTAGCAGTTAAGTGCATGCTCTCCTCTGCTGGCGGCCTGGGTTCGGATCCCGGGCATGCACTGACACACCACTTGTCAAGCCATGCTGTGGCGGCATCTCACATAAAGTGGAGGAAGATGGGCACGGATGTTAGCTCAAGGCCAGTCTTCCTCAGCAAAAAAGAGGAGGATTGGCATGGATGTTAGCTCAGGGTTGATCTTCCTCACAAAAAAACAAAAACAAGCAACCTATATATTTCTAGTAGACTATCAATAACTAATTGGAATCTATCAAAGAAAGAAAGGCATAATTCCTAAAACACACACAAAAATAAACTCCAGATGAATTAAAGACTGGTGTTACAAACGAATTATAAAACTATGAGAAGAAATTATAGAAGCATGTTTTTATGGCTTCAGGGCAGGAAAAGGCTTTTTTACAAGACCAAGCCAAAAAGGAAAAGATTATTTTCGATATAGTCTAATTTATCAAAAACCTTTGAACAAATAAGGAGAACATAAATAAAAATGA